TCTGCTGGACCTGGACCTGGATCTGGACATGGACCTGGACCTGGACCTGGACCTGGACCTGGACCTGAACCTGGACCTGGACCTGGACCTGAAGATGGACCTGAAGATAGACCTGAAGATGGATCTGGACCCAGCTGTAAAAGGAGAAGGTTTGTGACCGGGCTGACCTGTTGAAAACATTTCTTATTTAGATCCAAACATTGAAATATGATTCCTGAATCTTTTGAGACAGAAATAGGAAATGTAGTCAAATAATCCAGATTTATATTCCAAATTATTAGTTTGTGTTTATTTGTATCAGGATCCAGCAGCAGAGACCTGGACCCAGCTGTGTGTCCATGAAGAGTGACTTTTCTATGGAGTCTCGTCTTTACTTTAAAGCTGGACAAAGTGCTGATGAAAGGTAAGAATGTATACTCAAGCCTCCACCGTATCTCTCTTGAGTTGGTGTTAAAGAGACCCTCACAGGGTTTCTAATTACTTAAAATCTATTTGTATTATGAATCATACAATAGGAAAAGACTCTACCAAATTAAGACATTAAACATGGATTGTTTTAGACGACCCCCCCACTGCTTGGCGACGGCAGGCAGCGAGCTGTTAATGGCATGAAGGGCGACCTGAGGTGTCTGGTGTTTTTATTACTCTGTTCTTTATCATTACATTTCATTTTCATTTTATCAGTCTCAGGATCCAGCAGCAGAGACCTGGACCTGGACCTGGACCCCGCTGTGAGTCCATGAAGAGTGACTTTTCTATGCAGTCTCCTATGAACTTTAAAGCTGGACAAAGTGCTGATGAAAGGTAAGAATTTCAAACTGGACTCTGTTACTATCTGACTCTCTTTGGAGACGGCACCACAGATTGGTTCAGATCAGGCTCCAGATAATAATGGGGCTTTCTGTTCCTCGCACCATCAGCTGCTGGGAGGCTTCTGATGGTCGGGACACTTTCAGGCCTCAGTAATGTTGGTGTTTTTATAACCCCCCCCCCCCCCCTTCCACCTGCTGAGCCACAGCTACCCTGTTATTCTGTCTTCATCTCAGAACACCTTCAGTCAGCTGTGTGCAGATTAGAGTCTTTAAATGTTCTTGATGTTTTCTCCACAGAGTTCTGCAGGAGTTCTCCGAGGTTCCCAGTGATCAGTCTGCCCCGAAGCATTATACTGACCTGGACTCCATATTTATGGTGTGTACAAATATACATTTACTATGAACTACAGATGATCTACCATTCAGGTCTGACAGTGTCCATGCTGCTCTGTTTAGACCAGCAAGCCTTCAGACGGACAGATGATCACATGTTGTCTTCTTTAAATTAACTGTTGCTGCGTCGGTGGACCTGTATTCATCTCTGACTATTAATCAGACCTACTGATTGACCTATCAGAAGCTATTGAGTCTATGCAAGTTTAGGATCGGATCCACCTCTGAAAGGTCTTACCTCTACTAACTTCTGGAGAACCAGGTTCAATGAACTGCTGTTTGAAGGCAGATGACTAAATCTGTTTAAGAGATCCCAGAGGATTCTGTAGTGAGGTGTGGCCCTACCTAAGTGTGAGTGTGGCAGTCGTGCAATCCAAGAGGGTGGGATGAATATAGAAAAAAGAGGATATCAAGATTTGAGTCGGGTGTGCCTTTACATAATAACATAATAACATAAGACTTTAGTTTTAACGATATTCATCTGATCAATGTTCATCAATCTGTTGCAGCTGCTGGAGGAGAACATCGTCACTTTTGTGAAGAACGAGCTGAAGAAGATCCAGAAGGCTCTGAGTTCAGATTACCCAGAAGGCTTAGAGAGTCAGAGGGAGGAAGAGGAGGTGTTGGACGGTGAGGATGAAGAGCAGAGGAGGAGCAGAGAGGCATTTCTGAACATCACACTGCACTTCCTGAGGAGCATGAAGCAGGAGGAGCTGGCTGACCGTCTGCAGAGCAGTAAGAGGGTTTAACACATTTAACTTCTTAACCCCCGAGCCTGTTTTCCAGGTCTCAGGCTCGAAAATGACATTCCCAGAACAAATGACCATATCTTCCCTTCTAAAAGGGGAATATTAATAATCTTTTTTCTCAAAGTAATGATAAACCTGTGAGTTGGATATAGAAAAGTCAGAATCAATATAGATGTTTTTTATTTTAAAGAAAATTCAGATTTGACATCGTAAATAAATGTAAATTATAGTGTCCGTCCAAATATTATTTTTTACTTATATTGAAAACTACCCTTGGATGATGGTAAGGTTGACTAAAAGCTTTAGGAATCCAAATTACAACATATAATAAGTACCCTGTATCAAGATTGATGCAAAACAATTGACATTTGACCTTTTTAGCAAAAAAAAAACACGTCTGGGGTCATTTGGGTGGATTTGCCATATCTCTGGCCCCCCTTACTCGATTTTGATGATTGACATCTCTTTTTAACCGTCAGAGCCAATATAATCAAGGGAAAGTTCCACATACACACACAGGTTACCAAATAAGGAGTGAGAGTGACCCCTAGATTCCACCGGGTGATCGCGGCGATCGCGGCCACTCTAGTCAATGGGTGCTATTCCACCACACGCTGCGCGTTACGTCTCAGAAGCGTCTCAGAAGCGTCTCAGAAGCGTCTCGGCGCAGGGCTCCTCTAAAATTAGGATGAATCCTATTTTTGGCGCGGCGCAGCCGTAACGTAAGGCAGGAAGTGGAACGTTCAGAGCATATATAGCATATATATATATATACACACACACAAACTAATTTTGCAGACCCTATCCCTCCGTAGTCTTTCAAGTAGGAGGAGAAATGCCAGCGTTCTCCTCCGGTTTACAGGCACTGTGTAAATTATATATATAGAATAATTATGATGATGAATGCATTTTTTTACCACTTTACAGCAACACATCTTCGATTCATGTCGTTTATAACTGGAATATTACAGATATTATTAACTTTGTCTGTACAAAGTAGCCTGTCCAGGAAATATGCCCAAATCAACAAAAACTGCGAGCCGGCAGGCAAGACGCTCCGCTTCTGAAATGCTTCTGAAACGCGCCTGGTAGGGTATGACGCCGGAGGAGGCCGGACCAAAACCGCGGCGCAGACGTAACGCGGCGCAGACGTAACGCGGCGCAGATGGACCCGGTGGAATCTAGGGGTAACACGTAGCCAAAACTGTAGCTGCGACACACTCTGGTGGCTACCATTAGCAGCTAATTTTTATTCTCCGATTTTTGCATAAAAATTGAATTATGGATTATCAATACTTTTTTTAAAGTGACAGACACATTGGATTAACCTATGGATTAACTCTCAGCCGCGTTTTTTCTCGTTTTAATGCCATTGAACACGACTTTTGATCAGAATAACAGCTAAGGTGAGCATATCTCTGTGTTTTGCTACCTAAAGCTACGTCGTGTGTTGTCTGTATTTGCTTCCCCTGTCGCGAGTTCTGATCGCTCAGTGATGATCCTTATATTTCTATAATCTGTGGAATCTCAGGATGTTAGCTAAGCTTGTTTGTGCAGATCCAATAAGTATATCGATCGGTATAGCTAGAGTTCTGTAATAACGGGATTAAGATTTTTTCGCTCAGGGCAGATTCAGAGGCTCAGCTTTAGTTTTTTGATTTCTTTTGCTAAAAATGGTTCATATCATCAGTTAGCTGAGTTTATTCCCGTTACATGGATATGAAACATTCATAGTTTATTAAATATTAAGAAGCCCGGGGGGGATGGGGTTTAACATGATGGAGAGGAGATGGAGGAACATGGAGAAGTTTACATTTACAAAACCTGCTGTTAATATGCTGCACACGTCTGCATCAGTGTGTCCTCTGAAGAGCTGATTCAAACTATACAGCCACCCTTAAATGTTCAGATTCTCAGTGTTTCTGCAGGACCCACTCACTGATTTCACTTGTTGTTTCTTCATTCAGGAACTCCTGCTGCAGTGTGCAGTAAACTCAAATCCAACCTGAAGAAGAAGTTCCAGTGTGTGTTTGAGGGCATTGCTAAAGCAGGAAACCAAACCCTTCTGAACCAGATCTACACAGAGCTCTACATCACAGAGGGGGGGTCTGCAGAGGTCAACAAGGAACATGAGGTCAGACAGATTGAAACAGCATCCAGGAAACAACACAGACCAGAAACAACCATCACACAAGAAGACCTCTTTAAAGCCTCACCTGGAAGAGATGCACCAATCAGAGCAGTGATGACAAAGGGCGTGGCTGGCATTGGGAAAACAGTCTTAACACAGAAGTTCACTCTGGACTGGGCTGAAGGCAAAGCCCACCAGGACATCCAGTTCATATTTCCATTCACCTTCAGAGAGCTGAATGTGCTGAGAGAGAACAAGTACAGCTTGGTGGAACTTGTTCATCACTTCTTCTCTGAAACCAGAGACGCAGGAATCTGCAGGTTTGATCAGTTCCCGGTTGTGTTCATCTTTGACGGTCTGGATGAGTGTCGACTTCCTCTGGACTTCCACAACACTGAGATCCTGACTGATGTCACAGAGTCCACCTCAGTGGATGTGCTGCTGACAAACCTCATCAGGGGGAAGCTGCTTCCCTCTGCTCGCCTCTGGATAACCACACGACCTGCAGCAGCCAATCAGATCCCTCCTGAGTGTGTGGACATGGTGACAGAGGTCCGAGGGTTCACTGACCCACAGAAGGAGGAGTACTTCAGGAAGAGATTCAGAGATCAGAATCAGGCCCGCACCATCATCTCCCACATCAAGACCTCACGAAGCCTCTACATCATGTGCCACATCCCAGTCTTCTGCTGGATCTCTGCTTCAGTTCTGGAGGACATGTTGAAAACCAGAGAGGGGGGACAGCTGCCCAAGACCCTGACTGAGATGTACATCCACTTCCTGGTGGTTCAGTCCAAAGTCAAGAACGTCAAGTATGATGGAGGAGCTGAGACGGATCAACACTGGAGTCCAGAGAGCAGGAAAATGATGGAGTCTCTGGGAAAACTGGCTTTTGAGCAGCTGCAGAAAGGCAACCTGATCTTCTATGAGTCACGACCTGACAGAGTGTGGCATCGATATCAGAGCAGCCTCAGTGTACTCAGGAGTGTTCACACAGGTCTTTAGAGAAGAGAGAGGACTGTACCAGGACAAGGTGTTCTGCTTCGTCCATCTGAGCGTTCAGGAGTTTCTGGCTGCTCTTCATGTCCATCTGACCTTCATCAACTCTGGAGTCAACCTGCTGTCAGAAGAACCAACAACCTCCCAGAAGTCTGAAGTCAAACCTACACTAACAAATCTCTACCAGAGTGCTGTGGACCAGGCCTTACAGAGTCCAAATGGACACCTGGACTTGTTCCTCCGCTTCCTCCTGGGTCTTTCTCTGCAGACCAATCAGAAACTCCTACATGGCCTGCTGACACAGACAGGAAGTGACTCAGAGACTGAAGAGGACACAGTCCAGTACATCAAGAAGAAGATAGAAGAGGATCTGTCTCCAGAGAGAAGCATCAACCTGTTCCACTGTCTGAATGAACTGAATGATAGTTCTCTAGTGAAGCAGATCCAACAGTTCCTGAGTTCAGGAATTCTCTCCACAGAGGAACTCTCTCCTGCTGAATGGTCAGCTCTGATCTTCATCTTACTGTCATCAGAAGAAGATCTGGATGTATTTGACCTGAAGAAATACTCTGCTTCAGAGGACGCTCTTCTGAGGCTGCTGCCAGTGGTCAAAGCCTCCAACAAAGCTCTGTAGGTGAACACATAACTATGCAGATTAAAGGTGGGGTAGGTAAGTTTGAGAAACCGGCTCGAGATACACTTTTTGTTATATTCCATGGAATGCTCTTAACATCCCGATAGCAATGAATATCTTAACCTCTTAAGCCCTGAGCCTGTTTTTCAGGTCTCAGGCTCGAAAATGACATTCCCAGAACAAATGACCATATCTTCACTTCTAAAAGGGTTAAATTAATAATCTTTATTCTCAAAGTAATGATAAACCTGTGAATTGGATGTAGAAAAGTCAGAATCAATATAGATGTTTTTTATTTTAAAGACAATTCAGATTTTACATAGTAAAAAACTGTAAATTATAGTGTTCGTCCAAAAATAATTTTTTACTCATAGTGAAAACTACCCTTGGATGATGGGTTAGTAGACTAAAAGCTTTAGGAATCCAAAGTACAACATATAATAAGTACCCTGTATCAAGATTGATGCAAAACAAGTGAAATTTGACCTTTTTAGAGAGATTTAGCCAAAAAACCCCACTTCTGAGGTCATTTGGGTGGATTTGACCTATCTCTGGCCCCCCTTGGTCGATTTTGATGAATGAAATCTCTTTATAACCGCTAGAGCCAATGGAATTGAGGGAAAGTTAAATACACACCAAAACGTTAACAAATAAGGAGTGAGAGTGACGCGTTACCAAAATCGGAAGCTGCATACACTCTGGTGGCTACCATTAGCAGCTAACTTTTCCGCTCCGATTTTTACATAAAAAATTGAATTATGGATTATAAATCATTTTTTAAAAGGTACAGTTACATTATCAACCTATGGATCAACAGTTGTAGACATTTTTTTTTTCGTTTTAATGCCATTGAACACGTCTTTCGACCTAATTGACAGCTACGGTGAGACGATCTGCCGTAAAAGCTCCGTAAAGGTACGTGTTGTGATGTCTGTGTTTGCTTCCCCTGTCGCAAGTTCGGATCGCTCAGTGATGATACTATACCTAAATAATCAGTGGAGTCTCAGCTTTAATAGGCTATATTGTATGTGCAGCTACGATAAGTAATAAGGGTATCTTTATCTTGAATTGTGTGCCGCAGTGCGTTAGAATCTTTTCGCTCAGGGGTCATTTAGACCCTTCTTATGAGACTTGTGTTTTGTTTTGGTAAAAATGGTTCATATCTTCAGTTAGCTGAGATTCTTCCCGTTAATCTGGTGCTACACATTAATAGTTTCATAAATGTTAAGAAGCCCTGAGACATTATCTCGAAAACAAAAAGGTGGGAGGGGTCCAATGGGGGGACCGCCGTGCTTAAGAGGTTAAAGGGGACCTATCATGCAAAATGCACTTTTGTACGTCTTTTGTACATGAATATGTGTCCCCGGTGTTCCAGGGAACTCACCAAGAGTCAGAAAACACAACCCTCTCTAAAATAACTGGATGGCCTACCTGCCTGTCAGCCTTCCATCTGTGCACAAACTTATCTTGTGCCCTCATTGGTCATGTGCGCTTTTGTGTTTGTTGGAGGGGCTCTGTAAGGAAGTGGCAGATTTGTTCCGGCTGTGTATTTTCAAATTCTAGCGCGCTCGAGCTGGTTTTTCCAAAATTACCTACCCCACCTTTAAATGTATTAATTATTTAATCAGAAACAAATACAGTTTTGTAATTTATTTCTTCTTTATTACTGATTCCTCTCCAGACTGAGTGGCTGTAACCTGTCAGAGAGAAGCTGTGAAGCTCTGTCCTCAGTCCTCAGCTCCCAGTCCTCTAGTCTGAGAGAGCTGGACCTGAGTAACAACGACCTGCAGGATTCAGGAGTGAAGCTGCTGTCTGCTGGACTGGAGAGTCCACACTGTGAACTGCAGACTCTCAGGTTAGTGAAAAGCTGTTTAACAATGTTGACCCTCTGAACACCTAAATACTTCTTATACTAACTATTGGATGGACCTTTAATTTAATTATGTTAGTGTTTGTGCCTTGTCAGAGAGAAGTTGTGAAGCTCTGTCCTCAGTCCTCAGCTCCTGGTCCTCTAGTCTGAGTTGGACCAGAGGAACAGGTACAATTCTGAGGTTTTCTTATCATCCAGTATTAAACGTGGCAGCAATGTTATACTGAAGTTGTTTGCTAATGTAGTAAGTTTAATCATATTAGTCTGTATCTAACCTTGTTTGTAGTCCAAAGAGAATAATACATAGGTTCGGGTTGTAATGTCGGTTCAACTAATTGTCCATTCAATCCCATTGGTTAAAATTGTGACTGTAAAAAGCATGTTTAGCTATTAAGCTATAGAAATGTTACTGCAGACCTGCAGATCTGATGATACCACTATAGAGTTGGTGGAATCAATATTTGGTTGAAGGTTTTCTGCTACAAAAGACGAAGATGATCCACCTCATTCTCAAATGTGTTTCTTAGAAATCACCACTCAGCTCAAAGGTGGCCGGCTGTTCCTACCTTTCCCCACCTCCAGATATCTCTGTGTCTTCTTACATTAAAATCACTCAGCAGAATTATATAATCACTGCTGGAACGAGAAAAACAGATGAACTAACTGTGTGTGTGTGTGTGTGTGTGTGTGTGTGTGTGTGTGTGTGTGTGTGTGTGTGTGTGTGTGTGTGTGTGTGTGTGTGTGTGTGTGTGTGTGTGTGTGTGTGTGTGTGTGTGTGTGTGTGTGTGTGTGTGTGTGTGTGAGTTCAGTCTGAGAGGCTGTCTGGTCACAGAGGAAGGCTGTGTTTCTCTGGCTTCAGCTATGAGCTCCAACCCCTCCCTGAGAGAGCTGGACCTGAGATACAATCATCCAGGAGACTCAGGAGAGAAGCTGCTGTTTGCTGGACTGGAGGACCCACTCTGGAGACTGGAGACACTTAGGTACAGACAGACAGACAGACAGACAGACAGACAGACAGACAGACAGACAGACAGACAGACAGACAGACAGACAGACAGACAGACAGACAGACAGACAGACAGACAGACAGACAGACAGACAGACAGACAGACAGGCAGACAGAGAGAGACAGAGTCTCTGTCTCTGACTGAGGGACTCTGCTTCCTGTGTAATGGTGGATATGAGTGAAGGTGTATGCAGTTGATTCTGACTGTGTTTCTTCCTGCAGTATGGACCATGGTGGACTGCAGTGGTTGAAACCTGGTCTGAGGAAGTGTGAGTGTATTTTCAGTTTGATTCCTCAGAGCTGCACAGGTTACACTGCACATGAGATCCACAAACACAACAAAGTGAACACGGAACCAATAGATACACAATTATTAACAGAAAGCTCACTTTTCACTGTTATAGGTATATTCTCATATATTTAGGGTTTCAAATGTATTATTTTTTTGTTTTGTATAATTAGATTTTTTTTAACAGGATGAGTGAGGGTAGAATTTCATTACATTCAAGATTTCATGACACCAAGAAATTAATTAGCAACAAAATTGGATAAATATTAAAATAAATAGTACCAATTAATACCCACTCCATTTTTCAGAACAAACAAACACTGACCAGTTTTGTAATATTCTTTTCTTATAGAGTAATGATGCATAAATGATTTGCCATCCAGTTGGGTATTTTATTTTCTGGGTATTTTGGAAAAGGCAGACTATTGGTGAAAATTTTATTTTATATTTGCACGTTTTTGACAGCCAATTTTGGATATCATCCCAAGTTCTTTTAATTTTATAACATTTCCAAATGGCATGTACGAGGGAGTCGCTCTCAGTACAACATTTTATACATTTATGGGAGGAACTGCTATCAAATGTATGTATTTTCTCACTCCTATAATACATTCTTGTCATTAGTTTATATTGAATTAATCATAGATTTTTGTTTATGTAAGTTGTAAGCATTCCTTCCATTTTTGTTTTGCGTCTTCTACGTCCAGGTCTTTATTCCACTTAGTGTAAATATAGTAATCCCCGTTGTCCTCAGCACTGATACAGATAATATATACCAGATTCATTTTCTCTTTTTAATGTTTGGTTTTTGAATTCCCCTTCAGTTGAAACTCTGTTTTTAAGGTCCACATTTCCTGTGAACCAATTTTTAAACTTCAAATATTTAAAAGTTTGGGTGTCTCTTTGTCCATATTAACTCTTTACTTCCTGAAATGAAATTATTGAGCTTTCCTTTACAATATCTGATCATTGAACAATTCCTCAATGTATCCTCGTCAGCCAGTGTGACTGGGACCTCTGAAGAGTTGTTGATGGGTTATTCCAGAGTGCTTTATGTTTAGGGGATTCTATTTCCTGACCTTCTATCTTTTTTATTTATTTCCACGCAGACGATGAACTATTAATTACAAAATGTACAGTTTTAATTTTTTCTTATAAAAAAGAGTAACTGTAACTGATGGTTTTCAATCTCTATCCAAGGCTCTTCATTTGTGTTGTTTACTATTTTGTCAATATAAAACATACTTTCAAATGTTATACTTATACTTTTAGTTTTCTCCAAAAGAGAAAAGGTGCTCCATTCATGAACAGCACTAATTATGCTTTATGTGAGATTTTAGTGTGTTAGCAACTGAAAAAAACTTTAAGATAATTAAAAACATGTTCCTGTGAAAGCTTCTTCATATGAGACTCTTTGGATAGTGACAGTATATCAACAGCTGGACGCTGATGCTGTTTCCCTTTTCTTATCTCTTATTTTACAATAATAAGTATTAGGTCTGAGATCATTGATGGATCACCTACTGATGAAGATCAGGTTGTTAGACATCATTCTCAGTGAATATGAGACGTCAGTCTGAATGACTTCCTGTCAGTGATTGTCAGTAAAGTAGTTAATAAATGAACAGATGATAACCTGCAGCTGTTCTCTCCATCAGATGCCTGTGAACTGGAGCTGGACACAAACACAGCACACAGGAAACTCAAACTGTCTGAAGACAACATGACGGTGACAGCTGAGGAGGAGGAGGAGCCATATCCTGATCATCCAGAGAGGTTTGACTACTACGAACAGCTGATGTGTAGAGAAGCTCTGACTGGTCGCTGCTACTGGGAGGTCGAGTGGAGCGGGGAGGTTCATATAGCAGTGACTTACAGAGGAATCAGCAGGAGAGGAAAGAGTAAGGACTGTAGGTTTGGATGGAATGATCAGTCCTGGAGTCTGAGATACTCTGGTGGGGGTTACAATGTCTGGCACAATGAGAGAAGAACACGCACCTCCTCCTCCTCCTCCTCCCCCTCCTCCTCCTCCTCTGGTAGAGTAGCAGTGTATGTGGATCATCCTGCTGGCTCTCTCTCCTTCTACAGAGTCTCCTCTGACAAACTGATCCACCTCTACACCTTCAGAACCACATTCACTGAACCTCTCTATGCTGGGTTCAGGTTATGGACTGGTCTCTCCTCAGCGTCTCTGGTTCCTCTGCAGGTCTGAGAGTCTCTCCTGACGACAGAAACTGACTGCAGATCAGCTGCTGAAGTCAGTTCAGTGTGTTCACCATCACACACACATCTGTCTCACACGCACTCTGCACTGTGAAGCAGATCTGTCTCACACTCAACACAAAACATTTATCTGATTCCTTCTCTGTGAAAATCAACATCTTTCTTAACTCTTAATGATAAACATCAAAAAGTGTAGAAACTACTATTACTGAGATTTATATTTAGTTGATCCCACATGTTTTAGAGAAATCTGTCATTTGAATCAAGGTAAAGGTGTGTTTCCTCTTGTCTCTATAATAATAATTATTATTCGCAGGTCTCCCTTGAAAAAGAGATCAATGATCTGGATGTTATGCTACTTATAGTTTTAATTCAATTGTTTTAATCTTGACGCGATGTTTACAGTGAGAACAGCTGTTGAGGTCTGTGCAGAAAGCAGAACATTGTGTGTAATATATATCACTCAATAATATATATATAACAGGCCTAAATTACACTCATTATTTGTAGGCTTTAGTCGATATCTACATATAAACAGTACATATTTGTCATGTAACCATATAATGATTCATATAATAAAATATACAACAGCTGTAACCTGATATATATGATATGCTTTAGGAGCTGTAGGTGTGTTGTACAGTGTGTAGGTCTGTGTTGTACAGTGTGTAGGTGTGTGTTGTACAGTGTGTAGGTGCTTGTGTGTGCGTAGATGCGCCGGACCGACAGGACGGGTTGCAGTAGCTTCGGGAAGTTTGTGACAAAATTGTACTTTCTCCGTTAGCCAACGAGCTCCCCGTTTGAGCTATCAACTATTCCTTCGCAAGTTAGCTCCACATTGGATATGCGCTTAACTTTTCCTGCATTTGAATTTTTCCGATTATTTCCCCATGCGGAGTCAGCAAAAGTGCGCTTAAAATGAATGAAGAAAGCACATTTTTCAAAATGGCCGACTTCCTGGGGGGCGGGGCTAAGGGAAGCCAATTGGAAATATGTCTTCAATTCCATGAAGAATTCCATAAAATTCATGAATATTGGAGAAACTATATGTGACTACCACACAATAGGGGGCACTACTGAGCTGTTTTAACAAAATGTACGACTTTTTTGTACATTCTCAAAAATGTCATGGACTGTGACGTTTGTCCCAAGTTGTGCGTTACAGCTAATTTTAGCTCATCGCAATAAAAAAAAATAGGTATAGACCACACCCACATTCGTCAGTCGTTGCAACACTTTAAATCTCAACTTATAATCGCCCCCAGAGTATGTGTATCATTTTTTGTAAGATTCTGTCGATCCGTTCTTGAGTTATAAATGTGTGGTGTTTTTGGTCCAAAATGAAAATGCTTTGATATACCTATTCTCCAAGACAGACTGAACAGATCCACCAACATTTGTGATATTTGTGTAAATTGTTGATGAGTTATGAGTATTTCTTTCTAAGCCACGCGTTTTTGCGATTACGTTTTGATTAATGGCGGCCATATTTTTAGACTGATCATGGTCATTTATGGTAATGTGTGTGACCCCCCACCGATGCTGTATACCACATTTGGTGTTGATAGACTCAAAATTGAAATTTCGTTTAATATTTTAATATTTTTCGCATTATGCTAATTAGCAACACATCTAAGTCGGCGGATCTTAGGGGTTTCACACAGCACCAGCCGGATATGTGTGCCAAATTTCAGGTCAATCGGACTTAAGGTGCATGCTTCAGAATTGTTCAAAAATTAGATTTTCATAGGGGGCGCTAGAGAGCCAGCTTTCAACTCTTAAGCCATTTCAATGCATTTTTTATTTTCTGCACCAGACCTAACGTCCGTGCAACATTTCACAACTTTCCGGGCGTCGGAACTGGTAGCATGACGAAATAATAATAATCTGTAGGAAAACAATACGTTTCCTATAATTAACTTTTGTTATTTTTAGAATTTTGAGAAATTTAGAAAAAAACTGAATTTTGAGAAATTTAGAAAAAAACTGAATTTTGAGAAATTTAGAAAAAAACTGAATTTTGAGAAATATAGAAAAAAACTGAATTTTGAGAAATTTAGAAAAAAACTGAATTTTGAGAAATTTAGAAAAAAACTGAATTTTGAGAAAAAACGAAGAACTTTGAGAAAAAGTCAGAATTGTGAGAAATTCCCAAAAAACTGAATTTTGAGACTTTAGACAAAAATGAAGAGTCTTGAGAAATGTAGGAAAAGTCAGAATTTTGAAAAAACATTTTAAAACTTGAAGAAAAAGTCAGAATTTTTCAGAAAAATTGAGGAACTTCGAGATTTTGAGAAAAACTCAGCATTGTGAGAAATTCAGGAATGTTGAGACATTTATTAAAAAAGGTCAGAATTTAGAAAATGTTGTAAAAAGTCAGGATCTTGAGAAATGTTAAAAAAAAGAATTTGGGAAATTCAGAAATAAACAGAAATTTGAGAAATTAGGAAAAATTCAGAATTTTAGAAATCAGAATTTTTACTACAAGATATGAGTACTTCTACTTTTACTCAAGTAAAAGATCTGAGGACTTCTACTTTTACTAAAGCACTTCAAGCTTGCCACGCGCCTCTCCGTTTAACCAGGGCTTCTGATTCGGGAATGTTCGTACAGTAACCTTCGGTACCACGTCATCGATGCCTTTTCCAATGTAGCAAATGACCGTGTCCGTGTGTGTGTTGATGTTTTCGTCCTCAAACACACACTACTCCCTAGATTCAAAGCAGTCCTGCAGAGCTGAGTCTGACTCCTCACTCCAGCGCTGTACAGTCCGTGTCACCGGTCTGTCCCGTCTCAGTTTCTGTAAGCAGGCAGCAGCAGCAGTGAGATGTGCTCTGATTTGCCGAAGGGAGGGCGAGGGAGAGCTTTATATCCATGTGGAAAGGAGAATAAACACACCTCCCCCTTACTTTTCCCTGAGTTTACAGTCCGGTCCTGGGGGAAAGTAGTAAATCTGTTGTGGGAATGGCGGAGTCCGGGAGAGAGGAGTTGAGCCAAGTCTCTGTGAAAACCATCACGTCACAGTTCTTAACGTCCCGTTGAGAAGCCGTCCTGCTCCTGAGTTCATCACAGCTTATTATCCAGAGACTGGACATTAGCCAGAAGAATACACTCGGTAGAGGAGGCCGGTTCTCACGTTTCCTCAGCCTCACTTTGTCTTCCTCCTGCTCAGGTACTCATATCCTGGAATATGCCTTCATAGCTTTAAACTCCCCATACAGAGCTCTGATTGGTCAGCTGGCGGTAAGCTCTGATTGGTCAGCAGGCGGTGAGCTCTGATTGGTCAGCAGGCAGTGTTCAGCATAAGTTACCATGGTGATCTACCCCGGTAAGAATTGAACCAGCGTCGTAGGACCGAAAACCCGGAGCTAATGAGATGAGCACCGGGGTTTTATACAGGTGAAGGTGAGTAGTGGCGAGAGAGAGAGAGAGAGAGAGAGAGAGAGAGAGAGAGAGAGAGAGAGAGAGAGAGAGAGAGAGAGAGAGAGAGAGAGAGAGAGAGAGAGAGAGAGAGAGAGAGGTGCTGGCTACCGGCCTCCAGGCGACATCATCGTTTCCTGTCAGGTATCTTTGTAAAAACTGTAGTTTAAAAGCAGCTCTAGGTGCACCAACCCTTGCCCCCCCTCTTCCTTTGGTAGGTACAGCGTGCACTGAGAAACCCAGTGCAACTTGTCCCAAAAGAAATTTAAAATAATAATTTGCAACTTTTTTAAGTTAGACCCCAAGCCTGTTTTTCAGGTTTCAGGCTCGAAAATGACATGCCCAGAACAAATGACTATAACTTCACTTCTAAAAGGGTTAAATTAATAATCTTTTTTCTCAAAGCAAGGTTACATCTGTGAGATGGATGTAAATGTGTCAGAATCAATATAGATGTTTCTGTGTGAGAGTAAATTCAGATGGAATATAGTAAAAAAGTGTAAATTCTTACCTCCGCCTAATAAAAAACCATTACTTATAGTGAAAACCACCCTTGAATGATGGGTTAGTAGCCTAAAAGCTTTAGGAATCCAAACTATAACATATAATAAGTACCCTGTATCAACATTGAGGCAAAACAAGTGAAAATTGAGATTTTTAGAGAGGTTTAGGGAAAAACATCTGGTTCCATCAGTGCCATTTGACCTTTTTCAGGTACCAGATTGTAAAAATCATTTTATAACATTGAATCATCACTATAGTTCATTCCATAAAAAAATTATTGTAAAATTTAACCTGCTAATTATTGTCATGGATTTGAAAACTGATGTTGTTTATTTGCTATGTTCTGGCTGCTAGCTCAGTGAGTTCTGGCCGTGCAGTGATGAGACCTATGCCAATGGAATCTGTGGAATCTCAGCTTTCAGATGATGTGTTGTTTTTGCAGAAAGTATAATTATAAATGATAATTTTTGTGAGTTATGAGCAGAAATAGCATTAGTCCGTATTTGCTAAGGGCTCATTGAAAGGCTTCTTGTGGGAATTATTATTATTATTATTTTTTTTTTTTTTGTATAGTCAGTTAGCTGAGTTTCTTCCCATCAGCTGGGTGTGGAACATTAATAGTTTCATAAATGACACTTCAGAGATCACACTGGTGCTAGCAGATGTAGCATTTTCGGACCCTTCGGCGGGTCCATGGGGTTTAACAGGTTTTAAAAGACCAGCAGGGGGGTCCACACACTTGAGCTTATGCCAGAGGCTGGATGCTATCAGGTTGTTGATGACCAGCACCCTGCCTCTGTAGGACATGTGGGGAAGTAACCAGCGCCACTTGTTGAGTTTCCCCTCCACCTTTTCTAGAACTCCTTCCCAGTTTTTCCCCAGTGTGACCTCATCTCCAAGATGGACTCCCAAATATTTGATGCCACCCCTCTTCCAAGTCAACCCACCTGGGAGTTGAGGGAGGCCACCAGTCCACTCCCCCACTGCTAGGGCCTCACTTTTGGCCCAGTTGACTTTTGCAGAGGAGAGCTTTTGAAAAGTGTCCACTACCTGCCCTAGCTTTAAAACATCCTGTTGATTTTTTATTAAAACAATGATGTCGTCTGCATAGGCCGATAAAATAAAACGTGTATCAAAACCAGGTAAAAACAGGCCCTCATTAAAAGAGCGGATATTGTGTAGCATGGGCTCTATTGCCAGTGTGTACAACATACCTGACATCGAGCAGCCTTGTCTTATCCCCCTGGTCACATTAAAAGGTCTAGACAGACCGCCATTTATCTTAAGCACACTCTCAATGTTCACATACATCACCTTTATCATGGCGATGAAGCCCGGGCTGAGGCCGAACCTCTCCAGCACCTTCCACAGGTAACGGTGCTCAACCCGGTCGAAAGCCTTTTCCTGGTCCAATGAAACCAGACCA